ACTGTTATGCAGTTTTTAGTTCTTATATCCTTTTAGCTATTGTTTTTTAACTTGTGACAGCCTTTTTGCCAAACTGTACAACCTCCAAAAGGTGATATCTTTTCTCTCTTTCTCTCTCAATGATAAAGCACTTTTGCTTTTTCTTATTTTCTGAAAAGTTTGCCTATTAGCTGGAAAGTGATGATAGGCTATGACAAGCCTTTGACTTGTGATTTGGTTTACCTCCTGCATTTTACTTTTGGCCTACTGTTTGATTTGTCGTGTACTTTCTGCATTGTGTACTTGCCTTGTATGCTGCATCCAGTTTGCTTTGTTCAGTTTGCTACAATGTTTCAGTTTGCCTTTGTAACTTGCTTTGATGTTTAGTATAGTTGGCGCCTGTTTACCTTAGTTGCTTGGCCTATGTTTGCATAACTGTTTTCCTTGCTGTTTGGTTGCTTTGTACAGTTTTGCATCCAATTTGGCCTTGTAATGCAGTTTTGGCGCCTTGCTATATTTTTTGAATAATTTTTGCTTTTGCACTCCTCTTTTGCATTTTTTATTTTTCTCTTTGTGAACCAAGAAGAGAAATATTCTTGTGATTTGCAAAGAGGAAAATAAAAATGTGATGAACAATAGCACTTCTTGATTCCAGACGGCAAACTTTAATGATGAATATTTTCTTTTCTTTTTTTGTTTGAAAATTTTATTTAACTGACTGTGCTAATCCTCTTTTCTTTGTTTTTTTTCTTTCATGTGAGCACAATTTGGGTGATGACAAAGCATAGGAAGCAGAAGACTTTGAGCATGGGAGCAATGGCTTAGACTTAGATTTTTAACTTAGATAGATTTTCCATTAATTGTAATAATTTATTTTTTCAAGTACTATAAGTTGTAAAACCTACAGTATTCAAATAATAAATTATTTTTGTATCAACATCTTAAAAATCTGTGAGGCAATCTTAATAGAACCTTCTAGTGTCAATATTTTTGTAATTCTCTCTCTGCATCTTCACTTAATCGTTTAAGATTCTCAGATCAAAATAATTGAAATTGCATTCCAACAATTCTAATACAGATAACTTAAACTTTAAGTAATCCAATAACTTTGTAGTCTCGTAACCTTGCAACATCATTCCAATCAAGATACGCATCGTGTATTCCAATAAACAAGCAAACATTTCAATTCATTAACAAGCAAATGTCCTAACAGACGCACATCATCCGGTTAACCTGGATCATACAAAACCTGAATATTCCAAATGACCATCTCAGCTCCTATCTCTTATCCCAGATAAAAAAGCCTTGAGAACAACCAGTAACCTTTCAGCAAACTCGAAAAAGTGTGAAAACATGTGACAGTTAATTGAATTTCTGAGAATTCAGTTTCTTCTGAGAAATGCGAGAGAAACCCTAATTCTTGATTTTCTACCATAGAAAAGTCTGTTTGATCGATTCCTGAGCCAATCTTGAAAATCTGAGAAAACCCTAGGGTTGTGATTTCTTGTGAAAAAGGGAGGGCAAATTTTGGGGTATAACACAGTAAAACATACAATTTAAACATAATAAATAAGTACAAATAAAATGTAATAACTATTTACATCTGAAATATGCTCATATAACCAACAAGTTACCTCATCTCAAATGTAGTCGCCTCTCCAATGACATGTTAGAGTATTGTCACAACAACACAATCTCATGCCCAACTATGAAATCAAAGGTCAATGAACATAGTTATGTACCTTATATCAATGTAGACATGCGACTTATATGCCAAATAGTGCATTCAATGAGATGAAATATATAAATCTTAGTGGCCTCCTCACACATAAAATGATCCTCCAATGATGCATAAGTCTCTTGGAGCCAATAGACACGAAAATAAGCACCCTATTAAACCTAAACTCCTCCAATATATTGCACTCCTAATTGCAATATCGACGTTCATCAATGGTGTGGTAAAAAAGTTACCTGCAAGCGGGAGATGGAATAGACTAGAGACACCATCCATTATAATCGTCATATCACCAAATGAAAGATGAAAATTTAGATGTATGCTTATGTTATTTCTCAATAAAAGGAGATAACGATGGAATGTTAAGCATCATAAGAGAATAATCCACCAGTGGCAACAAACCACCAAGATCTATCAATCTCCTAACCTCATATGACATCTCCCTTGCCGAGAATTTCTTCAGGTTCAAACCATGAGTAGATTTCACACTACTACGGAAAAAAAAAACACACACACACACACACACATATATATATATATATATATATATATATATATATATATATATATATATATATATATATATATATATATATATATATATATATATATATATATATATATATATATATATATATATATATATATATATATATATATATATATATATATATATATATATATATATAAAGGTCATGGATTCGAAACCGAGTAGCATCACAGTTATAAAAGATAATTGTTGTGGTATATAAATACGAGTTTATTATAAAATATGTGAATGGCTTGTTTTTCCTTATCTCTCACTAAACATATAAAACCATTCAAATTGATGTAGAAGATAATAATTTGATAAATTAAATTATTATTAAAAAACAACTAAAACGAACCATAATTTCAATTGTATGCATCTCATAATTCATCTCTTGCTCTTTAACATATAGAATTTGGTTCAATGACCTAAGTTCTTCATAGCAACAATTCCTTTTTTTCTAGTTTATTTTGAAAAGGGTCAATTTTTTGACTAATTCGGATTCATCATTATAACTATCATCATGATTTTATTTTAAATGATGCTAATGATTATTATGATGGTAGTGGTGACAATGAGAGAGAGAAAGAGAATATGTTAGAATTTTACTGAGAGAGACGACACCTATTATGTCAAGAAGCGAGATTTAAATTTGCTTATATATAGATAAAATATTTCGCCATGGTTGTATTATTAGAACTATGATGAAATGTAATGTCTTTCACAACGATTTCTTTTACTAATAGTGGTGATATATATATATATATATATATATATATATATATATATATATATATATATATATATATATATATATATATATATATATATATATATATATATATATATATATATATATATATATAGGACAACACTCTTTGTAACGAAAAAATAGAAAATTGTTACTGATATTCAACCACTGTCACTCCATGTACATTTAACAACAGATGTTTTATAATGACCGTAATGAAACGTCTGTTAGTAAATATAAAATAAAACCGCTCTCGAAAATGAGGTATTATCACAATTAACTAAACGACCGTTGTAATATGATGTTACCAAATGTATATTTTATAGTAGTGTCAATTGAATATGACCTTGTAAAAATTAAAGCATAAACCATTAGTTACTTTCAATTAACCACTAATACATAAAATCAATTTAAATTAGAATATTTATACATCTTTCTTGCATAATCTGAAGACAACATGATCGACATACTTTGTCAATAATGTACGGTCTGAGGGTCCTCAAGGGAACCCATCATCTGTGGGACCATCATGATCGTCAAATGTACCTTCTTAATCAGACACTTCCACATGCGCCTCTAGCTTAAATGATCAGGCACAACAACATGTGTCTCCTTATCATCATCACTAGAGCATTCAACTTTACTTCTTCTACGATGGATTATATGTAGTCTATAAGTCTCTTTGATTCTTCTGCAGTGAAAACTTCTGAAAGCTATTATACCCTACCTAGTGTGCAAATGACAATCAACATTATCTTCCATCACCGCCAGGATTCTCTAAAACAACATCAACATATTTATCGCCCAATTTAAATATGATGCTACCATCTCTTCCTCTTCATTTCACTAAAACACAAAATAAATCAAACAATTAAAATAAAATTCCTTCCGAATTATATAAAAATTCAATGTCACCTTTATAACTATGAGATTTTCACAACTATAGTGTTAGATGCATTTACACCAGTTATATTAATAAAACTAGTATTATTATATTTATTTATACATGATTTGTTCAAAAGTATGGTATGATACAAAATATTTGCCATCAGATATTTTTCAAATCCGATATAAACTTATAGAAAAAGAATACTTTTCTTACCTGTTTAATTTGGTCATTTCGTCCCATATGTGTGAGGTGACATTTTAAAATGTAGGTCATATTAACATGTGTTAGAATAATTTAAATGTAATTAAATATAATACAGAAATGTGGCAATTTTTTTCCGTTTGGATTCATTTTATTTAATTCGACTTTAAGGAATCAAATGATATCTTTAATAAAAACATACGAAACTCTCTAAAAAACCATGATTGATGTATTTTAATATTAATAATAGTATAATATGAATAAATAAAAATGAATGATGGTGACTTGTAAAATAATGAATCGTACTGCAGTGTTACTTGAAATAAGAAGCATGAGCAACCCTGGATATTGTTTATTAATAATCGGAAATATATTTTCGATATGTATCGGACATGCATTTTTGATTTCGTTTTTGCCTTTTGAAGGATGAAATTATATTAGTCTTTTTTTGTGAAGAATATGGTGCGAACTGAAAATGCACTTTCGATTTTAGAGGAATATTTTTGAAATTACATAGTGTACTTGTTTTGACCCTATGGTAGGTTAAGAAATCCTCAAACTTCTCACTCAACCTTTGAATGCAACACTAACACCTTCGTGAACATGCACCTCTCTCGTGAACAAGAGTAATGCTTGCTACATTTACAACTTAATTCCAACAACTTTCCTCCCCCATAACATATGAAACATCTAATGTTGACACGAGAGTGTTTCACTAGAAAGTAAAATCACATGGTAAAGCTAAAAAAACCAATGGTTTCATATTAAAGGAAACCTCTTAGTATCATGTAATCTAACCACTTTAGGCCACTTCATTTAATAGGGTCATTTATTCAGCTACCATATTATTATTTTTCTTAACTTATAAATTTGAATACACATTAGATCAATGCCTCCAAAAGTTATCTAGAGAAATATGGATATGAATCATAGAGAAGCAGTTTTTGTTATGCTTGCATTTATGTTGTTTGCATGGGGGAATAATGCACAAGATGATGAAACACTTGTTCCAGCAATCATAACATTTGGTGACTCTGCTGTTGATGTTGGGAATAATGACTATCTTTATACTCTTTTCAAAGCTAACTATCCTCCTTATGGAAGAGACTTTGCTAACCATAAACCTACCGGAAGATTTTGCAATGGAAAATTAGCTACTGATATTACTGGTCAGAATATAAACATCGAAAAACCGAACTCGTAATACTAACGTTACATATGTATAGATGTATAGTTTTCATCTGGTTGTTTCTTTTCGCAGCTGAAACGCTAGGTTTTAAGAGTTATGCGCCCGCGTATCTTAGCCCTCAAGCAAAAGGGAAGAACCTTCTTATTGGAGCGAATTTCGCTTCGGCTGCATCTGGTTACGATGAAAAGGCTGCCATTTTGAATGTAAGTATTTATGAATATCGTAAACACGAGTTCTAGAGGTTTCGGGTATTTTAACTGTTTTATTTTTTTGCAGCATGCGATTCCGTTGTCGCAACAGTTAAAATACTACAAGGAATACCAAAGCAAGCTTGCAAAGATAGCTGGTAGAAAAAAAGCAGCATCAATTCTTAAAGGTGCATTGTACCTATTGAGTGGTGGAAGTAGTGATTTTGTACAAAACTATTATGTGAATCCTATAGTCAACAAAGTTGTTACTCCTGATCAATATTCTGCATATCTTGTGGATGCATTCTCAAGTTTCGTTAAGGTATGCTACTTGTTCTTTTATTGTCACTATATGAATTATGTGTTAATTGAAATAACAAGACATAAGCATTTGAACATAGGATTTGTATAAATTGGGAGCTAGAAAAATTGGAGTGACTTCACTTCCACCACTAGGGTGCTTACCTGCTACAAGAACTTTATTTGGATTCCATGAGAAAGGTTGTGTCACAAGAATCAATAATGATGCACAAGGATTTAACAAGAGAATGAACTCGGCCGCAGCGAAACTTCAAAAGCAACTTCCTGGTCTTAAGATTGTTGTGTTTAACATTTACAAACCTCTCTATGAACTTGTTCAATCCCCTTCAAAATTCGGTAAGCAATACTTTCACTAGAATAACATATGATACGATATTCATTTCATTCTGTAAAAGAATACTACTTATTCTACTTATTCTTATTTTGCGACATCCGATAGGTTTTGCGGAGGCAAGGAGAGGCTGCTGTGGTGTTGGGACCGTAGAGACAACATCCTTGTTGTGCAATCAACATTCATTAGGAACTTGTTCTAATGCAACACAGTATGTGTTTTGGGACAGTGTTCATCCTTCACAAGCTGCTAATCAAGTTCTGGCTGATGCATTGATTGAACAAGGCATAAGCCTTATCACTTAAAGATTCATGTGATGAAACAGTTTGTTATTTCTCTAGTGTAGAGAAACGTCTTCGTATTAAATAAGATTTTAGAAATTTCGATGTAACATGTTCGACTACATCAGTTCAGTTTACATACCAAGTTAATTTTCTGTCATATCTCCAATTTGTTAATGAAAACCATTTTCTAACTAAAATATAACCATTGTTGTAAATAATTGATGATCGCTTGCGACGATAGGAAACACATTCTTCTCTAATCCAACATAAATCAGAAAAGGTTAAATCCTTGCATATATTATTGACCATAAGCTAAAACAGACTAACTATATGATGTTGATCTTCCTCGTCTTTGATGTTTATCATTCGCACTAGAATCTTCTAGAGCTTCTGCATATTTCTCCAAATCAGATTTCTCTAAGCCTAAAAAGTCGGAGAAGGAACCTTCTCCGTCAAAACTTGAATATCTCCTATCAAAGGAAGCTATGCCGTCAGTGTCGGTTGATGTACTCCGCCGTTGAGAATTGCTGTTTTCTTGATATCTAGATGAAACCTCAATACGACGATGATGTCTATCCTTTCCTAATATCAATCTTCTAAGCTTGCTAAAAAACTTGTTCTGACTTGTGGTGTTAGTTTTGGAAGAAAAATGATCATACTCTCCAGAGTCAGTAATAGAAGAAGATTGCGAGGAGGACCGTTGATTTAAATCAAAATCCGTAGTACTCCCTAGTTTGTTAGTATCAGCACATTCAAGTATTAGTTTCTTGGCTTCAATCTCAGAGTCCTTTGCAACTGTTTTATTGTGTAGAGGCTGATGATTCTGCAGCTCGTGTCGTAAACGAGCATTTAACCCCCACACGTACACTAATTCTTCAGCATCTGAACGTCGATCAGATTTTAGTTGCTCAATTTGCTTCATCAAGTCCTCATTTTCTTTTCTAAGACGCTCCCTTTCTTGATTCGCGTCATTAGCAAGGACCTGCGTGGAATCGAATCTTCTAGTTAAGCCAGAATTCTCTATCTGCAATCTTGAATTAGATTTCCTCAAGTCTTGGACTTCAGACTCAAGCGCCTCTATCTTTTGCAGCTTAATTTTAGTGTCCTGATCACAAGCAGCGTCTTTACACTCTTGGTCTTGCAACTTGGCTACTCTTTGCTCTTTATTCTGTTCAGCTTCACGCCTAATATCCTTATCGAGCAGCTCGATTTTTGCTTTTGCTGCGTCAAGCTCAGCCAGCACTTTTGCATGATCCGCAACATGTTCCCTTAATCTGTGATTCTCAGACTGTAAGTTTTGAGCCTTCAGATTGAACATCTCTACCTGCATATTACTTATCTTCAATCTATTTTCGAGTTCCATCACCACCGTTTCTTGCTCTTTAAGACCATAGTACTCAAGTAGTTGAACCTCGAGATTTTGTTCCTTGTCCTGAAGCATTCTAACCATGTTCTTGAGTTGATGTATCTCTTGTTCAAGACCTGCATGCGCCTCTACTTCAAACTCTACCTCCTTAACGAGGTCGTCAAATTCAGGTAGAAGGAACATATCTCTATCACCATTTTGTTTACTGCTACTCAATTCGTCGGTGCATGCTTCGTGACCTGAGAAATACACCATTACATTTAACAATACAAAACAAAAAACACTTGGATTCATGATGAAATTGAAATGAAACAAGACCTTGATAGATTCTGAGGCGTGAGCAGAGAAATCCAGCAAAAGAAAAACCAAAAGCCAAGGCAATGTTGACTAAAATAGGTTTCACACCCTTCTCCTCCTTCTTGATCATTATCAAATCCAATCTAATATTTCATCACTATCATTAAACTCTTAACTGATTCATACCTAGAAACCTAACAAGTTCATAACCAACATTGATACAGCTTATACAAAATCAGAAAGAATCCAAATTACAAAAGCGACTTTTGAATTCGAAAAGTTAATTACGAAACAAACGAAAAGTGAGTAAAGAACAAGTACCTGAAGTCCGTGTCCAAGAAAGATTAACATGTAAACTGAAAAGACAAGAACAAGCGAGAATCTTAAAAATGTAGATGCTGTGTTGACTAAATAACAACTTTTTTGAAATTAACATGTTGTTCCTTTGATTAATCTCTTCAATTTCTAATATTTTATTTATTCTTAATCTTTTATAAAAATTAACTTTGTCTTCATTATTTTTTTGAAAAAATTATAATTTTTCTTCTACTAATTATTTAAAACTTTTTTTATAATTTTCCTTCCACTAACTATTTAAACTTTTTTTTTCTTTTTAATTGATTTGCTTTCTCCACTTCGTACCTGATCATAATGGATCGTCGATGACCTATAAACATGGATTGAACGGCGGTTGAAAGTGAAATAGACAGTGCCTACAAGATACTCTGATGTCAAAGTGAGGTTCATAACAAAATGTAAGTATTGAAATAGTGTAAAATAAAGATACTCTGATGTCAAAGTGAGGTTCATAACAAAATGTAAGTATTGAAATAGTGTAAAATAATGTACCTGACTCTCTAGTGAAAGAGGTTATTTATAGCCTCTAGCGTTGGATCAATGTATCCATTTGGGCTAGATGCCCAGGCCCAAAATAAAGATTGTCAAGATCTCATATAGATAGTGGAGACAAGTTCATGGTCTCTATCTTGGTTAAACTGCTCCACGGTTTTAGGAGGTGAGGACTCGTTCTTTTTGGAAGCAGGATGATTGTGTGATATTCGGAAGACCATTAGTCATGTTCTCTTGGTGGGAACATGGAGGAGAAGTCCCCGACGCATACGTGGAGGAAGTGTCCTCGATGTGCCTGTGGAAGAGAGATCCTTGACGTGCCCTTGGAGGAGATATCATCGACAAGGCCTTGTGGAAGGTGTTCCTTGATGGTTATTGCCATTTGGTTTGCCAAGGTGGGCTTGCCCGACTGGGGACCAAGTGCAGGTCTGGTCCCCAATAGGTTATTAGACCTCTAGCAGTATTGTGTTGGGCCTTTCCTGGTGGTAGACTAAGTGACGGTCCAGTCCAGAACAGGAGCCATCCAAGTCGTTTCTCCTAAGTATAGGAGTTATGACTTTAGGGTCAACTCAAGTTTCGAGGAGATAGTGATGCCGAGGATCTTCGTGGCTTCCCTTGAGCCTTCAATGTTCGACCCGTGCATGGGAGATGATTACTCAGGCATCAAATTTTTAGTCTAACGTATGCAAAGATGAGAATGTGTCTGTCCTGATTAACAATCTTCCTCGCAGAGGGGGAACTGATTGTCCAGATTAACAATCTTTCTCACAAAGAGGAACTAATCGTCCAGATTAACAATCTTCCTTGTAAAGGGAAGACGAGATATAAATGTCATGGTCGGGAGTAGTGGTGTGCTCGTGGAGGAAAAAGTTTTCCTCACCCGTCATCCAGGGAGTCTAAGAGTTTCAGTCGGTGTCTGCTAATGGGCCCACGTGTCAGTATTTAATGCGTAATAATGGCCTAAGTGTAGGGGTCATGATGACCTAGGTGCATGGGCGGCTATGTGTCGAGGCATTGACACGCCATGCAAGGTGACGTTTCATCTTCTGTGCATGGTTTATAAATAGGGGTTTAAGGATTCATTTGATACTTTCGCAACACTTGTTCTCCCTCTTGCCCTCTCTTCCTCCGATTCTCTCATTCGGCCACCATCGTCGATGTAGTCGTTGTCGTGCTCTCTAGAATGAACCTTCAACCTAGTAAGTACTTTCCCTTTCTTCACGGTCCATTTTATCTTTGCATCATGCATGTTTTAGATGAATTCGTGTTCTGGGAAGTTTCTCCATGCGAAACTTATAAATTATATTGTTTTCCCCGCAATATTCACATGAGACTCGTGTTCTTTCCCCGCGAGATTCATGCGTTCTCTGCGAAATTCGTGTTTTCGCCCGTGATATTAATGTTTCTTCTTGGGAGATTATAGCGTTCCCTGGGAGATTCATGATTCAACTAGACATATTCATGTTTCTCCTTGAGAGATTCATGTGTTCCCTAGGAGATTCATGAGTCCCTCAGATGATTTACTAATTGGGGAGGATTTTTTCGTGCAGGAAGTTTTTGCCTTTGTTTGTCTAGCCGATTTGGAGCGCGCCCTTGGCCCAGGGGTGGTTTTGATTTTCTTTTGAGATGTCAAGCAGAGCTTGGTCGGGGATTATATCCTCATCTCATGATGCACCCTTTCACTTGACTTGTGGTGGAAGGGTGGATTTGATTTGACCATCGAATTCACGTTATTCCTCTGCTTTTCAAGTGAGATGGTCGATCTTGTCGCATATATTCATATGGTCGAGCATGTCGAGGAGGACCAGACGATCGAACATATGAAGGATGTTCGGATAGTCGATTCGATCACTGATCCCCAACTGACTTGGGTTACTCATGAGCCTCGGGGCATCGCCTCTCGCTATTCCGCGTCTTTGGATGACGCTTTTATAACTATCAAGGACATGCCCTGTAACACTCCAATTCTACCCGGTAATTATAAATGTAAATCAGAGTTTTAAAATTCATACAACTGAATCAGGATGCCACAAATTCAACTTAAAAACACATTGCATTCAACGTGGATACATAACACTTTAAAACTTCGGATGAACCATCAGCAAAATAATTCAATCTCTTAATTCAACAACTTGAACATCTATGCAGCGGAATCATAATAACATCTTTGTCCAACAATTACAGCAACTTCAAAATAACACATACTTAGCAACAATCAAATTAAAGTTCAACAACTAAAATAAGCAATAACTAAAAGCAACAAGCGTTTATCCCCCCGAGTGTTACGTATCAGAGCAATGACACCGATTCGAACTACTGAAGGTATATTGCCTTCACTCTGGATTACATGCACGTTACCAATACAAGGGTAACATTCAAACAGAAGGGGTGGGATATCTAATAATATAATAAAATGTATGATAAATAATATGTTAGATCAACTCATATAATAACACCACTTCACATCTCATAAACAATAATAATTGCAACAGAATACCAACAATATACACATTTACCGCATCAATACACAACTTCTTTATGCAATCATATAATGCGACTTAATACTATGTAAATGCATGTGGTATCATTGGATCAGAACTCCCATCTCAAAATAATTACCAATAAATAGAGGCATCAATGAGGCATAAGCCTTCATCTTAATATTCGCCAATACAGGCCATCTTAACGAGCATCAGATCCATCTTGATATGCAATGTATGCAACACAATCATGAATGTAGTAACAACAACCACAATTAACAACATCTCAACACAACATCATCGTTGGCCAGAAGCCTACATCTTAATAGCTGTCAATTATTAGAGGCATCTCAACATCATGCATCAACATAATTCATCAACATGATTCATCAACATAATTCATCAACATAATTCATCAACATAACTCATAAACATAATTCATCAACATAATTCATCAACATAATTCATCAACATAATTCACCAACATAATTCCACAGCAACTCGGCCATAACAACAATACAACGACAGATCGACAATCCCTCAATGTTGGCCATAGGCCTACAACATGATAATGCCTATAATTAATTAATCATCTAAGGAATATCTCTAATTACCAAACATCTACATATTATTATTCTATAATACTACATCATCATTATCATTATAAATCTTACCGTCATGAACCAAGCGATAATTTAAGATCGTCTTATCCTCATCATACTTCACAAAATCATCATAGAGATTAACGCGGGAAGCTAACTCTAATCCTAATTTTGGTACTAGATTTATTATTCTTATCCTTCATTTTAATCCTTAAGAATTAAGTTCATCGCGTTAGCTATCCAACGCTTCAAACGACACCTCAAACGGAGTCCGGAAACTCAAGTTACAGCCTTCGGAAACAAATCTGTCAAAAATTGGACTGCATGAGTCAACGCATACTTCTTTGAGTCGACGCGTACTGGGTTGAAATCCTGCACGAGTGATCGGTCACCATTTCTAGTAAGTTTTCGCACCTTTTTCCGACAATAATTCATAGTTTGGTAACACTAAACGGTAGTTGCACGTGTGTTTAGAGTAAGTTTTCGTATTTCTTTTTGTGTGATGTCTTTGTGTCTTATTGTCCTTTAAGTGTTGAAAAAAGTACCATTTTATGCTGTGCTTGGTAGTGTTGATGTTCAGGTTGATACATGGGAGAATAGGAACTTTTGGCGCGCACAGGCGCATGAAATGGAGCCGGAAAAAGCAATTTTAAGAGGTCAACACGGGCCCCCGTGTGTAGCAACACGGCCCGTGTTGAAAAGTGCCTGGAAAGTGGATTTTGTGCCAGAAACAGAGCCTGCACACGATCACCCGTGTGCAGGAACACGGACCGTGTGATCAAGCGAGCTGAAGCGTGTTGCACTGAAGGGCAACACGGGCGCCCGTGTGCAGGAACACGGCCCGTGTTGCGGAGCGCGTACTGATTCAAATTCCTGATATTTTTTGTGTACAGGGAAGTTAATTCATTAAGGGTATTTTTGACACTTGGCTGGGGGCAGAGCCAGAGGACACTATTAAAACATCTTTAGGGCAAGAAAGAAAGGTTGTTTTTGATTTGGAGAAAATAGAGATTACAGGAGAGAAGGATTGGAGAAGCAAGGTTACGACTGACGGAGAACTTCAAGGTGTCACCATTGAAGATCAAAGTCTAAGTTCTTGTAATGTAAATTCCTTTTAATTTATTAATCTTGAATTCTATGAATAACTAAATTCCCCACTTGCTAGGGGTTGGTTCTAATTTGGATCTTGTAATGATTAT